AGTTAGTGCCAAGCAGTCTTAAGGCTGCACAGGTGTCGTGTACACATGGAATTAGCTGAAGCGTGAGTTTTACGTGTTCACCGCATGTTTGTTTCTTCTCTCAGGGGATCGATGACCAGCTTGGAGTCGAGCCACAGCGGCTTCTCTCAGCTTAGCGCCGCCACCACCAACTCCAACCAATCCCAGTCCAGCTCCATGATCTCCAGGTAGAAATTGGTGTCAGAGGACTTCAATTCCCAAAACCCACGTCCCCCCCTCCACTGCCCATACCGTCAACACGGACGCCAACTTTTCCTACCCCCATACCCTTAAACCATCATCTTTGGACTCTGTTCCTATTGCACAGCCAGTCTCTGTGGAACTGATGCATGCTTGCACAAACGGAAGACAAAGAATTAAAAAATTCTGAGGCAAAAAGAAACTAAATGTACAATTTAAAGGGCTGATTTTTGCACAAAGGGTCATATATTTTCCATGCCTGGCATCTCAGCTGGGCAGCAGTTTGAATAAGACCATCAGCAGAATGTTTTGTGCACGATGGAGCGGCTAAACGTCAGGAGGTGAGTAGTGGCGCCTTTCAGGCACCAGAAGCTGAAAGAAAGAAGCAATATTCTCATCCTAGGAGCTACGGAACAGGATGACGACACTGGAGGCGCTGTTACATATATGCATTTACACGTGCACACACATAAACAGTACCGAGGCGACGCATACCTCATTCATGTGCGTCTGCTGATAAAGACTGGATGAGCTGTTACATACGAACGCCAGTCGGTCACAAACGCACAGGAAAAAAGTTGACAGTGTTTGCCATATTGTTACTGGAGGGTTTATTGTCTCTGGTGAGCTGTATATAGGTCAAATGTGGGTGGGGTGAACATCTTTTAATAGATCTGGGTCAAATAAGATCAGCTGTCTGTACAGGTGTCGGTAACTTCGGCAATTGACAGGTGAAATCTTCCCGGCGTGCTCCTGTGGCTGAGTTGAGCTTTCTGACACTCATTGCATTGCTGTACAGGTTGCATCACATCTTTTGAATATTTGACCCAGATCTTGACGCTTAGCAAAGTAAATCCACTAGAAGCAATAACACAAGTTTGACTTTCTACTGTGTGAAATATTTCTATTTAACGTGAAAATGTATGAGGAGAATCATTTGCGGGGGCCCAAAGGTGCAAAACGCAGTAACAGAAGTAAAAATGCTACATTTCAGAAAACAGGATGACAAAACTTATACCAGTAACATTTCTGAAAACGGGACATTTGATGCATTTTTGTTTTTGAATTGGCAGAACCAAAGTACCTGATGTTAGAGTGATGTCATTTCCTGTTTCAGTAATACTTTCAGAGGTTTGACATGAAT